GTTAGTCTGTCTGTCTGTCTGTCCGTCCGTCCGTCCGTCCGTTCGTCCGTCCGTCCGTCCGTCCGTCCGTCCGTCCGTCCGTCTGTCTGTCTGTCTATTTGCCTGTCTGTCTGCCCGCCTGCCTGTGACTGTGTCAGTGCTGTGTGATACGAGATCTAATTACTAGTTCAAAATATGAGCGCCACCCAATAGCGATAGCTCGTGAACCGTTCGTCAAATGTAATTACTGGGCCCGTATCGCGGCTCAAACAACCGAGATCTTGCATACATAATTCAGCGTAGTCTACATCCCGACTGCTCCACTCGTTCGCACCTCCTCTCATCTGAAAGCCTTCTAATAGATGCGAACTGAGTAAGTGGCACGCCAACACGCGCTCGTGGGTTAACTATTATCGGATCTGACAGCGATATAATGGTAATACGAAATCACATTCGAGCCTTCCCGTACGTCTGCATGCGTCGAGGGATAGATTCCCATCACACGTACGCGCGCGGGCGGCCGCGCTGCTCCAGCACTCATTAGAATTCCGCAGCATGCTCGGGTGAACCTATTAATAATATCAGTTCGGTCGGGATGGAACGATGCATAACCCTCTCATCACGGTCCTGATTTAATTACGACGGCTGCCCGAAGAAAACACAATAAGCTCGCTCCCGCTGATGATGCAGCCAATGATTTTTCATTACTTTGTTCAATATTAGTAATATTCATTGCCCGTTCCTATTCCCAGAGTCTCAATCGACTGTCGAGTGCCAGAGGGGCAAGGCCCCAATTCCGAAAGCGAATGTGTGGATGTAGGCCATCGGTAGCGTTAGCGTCCATCGTTGCTGGGCCAGGCGAACGCGAGCGAGCGAACTCCGACGCAAATATAGCGGCCTGTCGACATGGTAGTGTGTCGGGTGCGGGGTGAGAGGTAGGGGTACAGCGGTGGCAGCCGTGACAGAGGTGACCGTGACCGTGACAACTGCTTCGTCGGCTGGCTTCAGTGTCGTGCTTGGCGACCGTGACAGCCCGTGGTGAGTCACACACGGCTGCCCGGGCGTGCGCACCACGCGCGCCTTCGCTCACTCGCTCGCCGGGTCTAACCGGCAACGCGTTTGAGCTGCACTTTTATGGAGGCCGTATTTTTATAGCGACATATAACGCTATAGTTGATCGTTCGTCGCTTTATCTATTTCGTCAAGGGAGGTGTGTCTACTCTACTGTCATTACCCTGAATGTGTCTTGATGTGTGTCTAATGGACTTCTATTCCTCTAATATCTCCGCCCAGGTCTCGCCTACCACGTGTATGATTTATATTATATATATATATATATATATATATATATATATATATATATATATATATATATATATATACTAATTATATATAAATAAATGAATATATATATAATATATAACCATCATTTATATCAATTTGTTGTGTCTCGGATCGTGCCTATAGGTGTCTAGGTTAGCCAGCTAGCTCGCGCTACGAGCATTTTGCTATTTGCATTTTGCTGTTTGCCTCGGCAATGGACCGGGGAGACTGTCACCACCGCAATCGCATATCAGTGACGACAAGACTTCCGTATGGCTTGCATCCAACCTCGCCCTCTCGCCACCGCGCACCCCGATGGGGTCGGCGAATTGTTCGGCCTCGAGTAGCTTGCGCTCGTGTACGATTTCACGGTGGGACATTTACCGCTACGCACACGGTGCGAACCGGTCAATGGCTGAAAGAGAAATCGTCCGCTCCCCGCACACCGGAGGGCAGACATCCGGGGCGCACAGCACTTATATGTGCCACAAACACGCACGCAGACACGAACGCACGCACGCACGCAGGCCCGCACGAACGCACGCACGCAGGCACGCAAACGCTCACAAACGAACGCAGTCGCGCACGCACGTACGACGTACGCAGGCACGCACGAATGCATGCACGCACGCACGCACGAACTCACGAACCCACGCACGCACGCACGCACGCACGCACGCACGCACGCATGAACGAACGCACGCACGCACGAACGAACGCTTCATCTCTCTCGAACCCCGAACCGGCCGCACCGCTACGCCCTGTCGATAGCGTGACGGCTCGTGGCTTTCTTCGCACGCACGGGCCGGCTATTGACAAATGACAGGCGCCCATCGTTCGATTATCGCCGGTGCTGTGCCTCTTTTCTCCGCGCTGGAGACGAGACGTCGTTCTTTCTGCCATCGACGCGTTCATTCATTCATCATTTACGCGACGGGACTTTGTTGTCGGAGATGGTGAGCTTCAGCGAGCGAGTTCGCCCGGTAACACCACTCTCAGGCCCATTGTCGTGTGTCCACCGGTCCGCAGCTGTTCCGAAAGCACCGCGGTGTGTTTTCACAGACCACGGTGTGTGTGTGCGCGCGCGCGCGCGTGTGTGTGTGTGTGTGTGTGTGTGTGTGTGTGTGTGTGTGTGTGTGTGTGTGTGTGTGTATATGTATGTATGTGTACGTGCATGTGTGCATGCCCGCGCGAGAAAGAGAAAGGAAAAGTGGGAGGGAGCGACGGAGAAAGAAAGTGAGAGTTAGTGAGAGATGTAGAGCCAGAGAGTGAGAGAATGAGCGTGAGAGAGAGAGAGAGAGAGAGAGAGAGAGAGAGAGACGGAGAGACGGAGAAAGGGGAATGGAGAAAGAGATAGAGCGATATGTAGTGATAGAGAGTGAGACGTGTGCGAGATGGAGAGACAGAGATGGCGGACAAAGAGGAATTGGATGGGGAGTGGAGAACACACACGACTACTGCAAGCTGGAAAAGTAACTAAACATGGACCTGCTATCTTACCATCCGTTCTCTTAGTATCTGGTCTATCATTTCAGATATAATACCGCCATTTCTCTCGCAGGTTTCAACAAATAAAAAATACAATTATCGCTTATATGTAGCGACAGCTTGTTTTTTCTTCTCCTCCTTCCTCTTCTTCTTATTCTCCTTCTTTCTCTTCTCTCTCTCTCTCTCTCTCTCTCTCTCTCGCTCTCGCTCTCTATAGTTCTTCGCCCTCTCTCTCTCCTTAACTCTGTCTCTCGCCAGCTCATTTACTCGCGTACTCTCTCTCACCAGCTCCCTCTCTCCCCCTCCCCATCTCTCTCCCACTCTCCCCCTCTCTATCTCTATCTGACATGTGTGCGCGCGTGTGTGTGTCGTATCTCTCAATAACGTCATCGCAATCGAAATTCTCTGCTGAAATCCGCCGTTGCAATGCGCCGCCTACTTGCAAATTCCACGCAGATTCCTACTCTTTTAATCTATTAGCCTTCTGGCGGCAGCTATATCCGTTGCGGGACCGATATTCGCGCAGCGAAGACACTGGTTTCGTATGCCGAGCTCCCGGGAGCTTGTTACGCCTAGCCATTTCCTGATTATTTCCATGAGGGAAGCGCTGAGAGTGCTCTGGCTTATCCTCTGGTATTTAAGCACGCGCGTTGGCAACATATACGTAAACAGTGCTCATCGAATTAGGCTAATCAACGTGTTGCTCATCTTTGTTATCCTGTGCATTAGCTCCCCGGCGCGGCTCGCTGCCGACAACCACTCCCGGGGAGCACTGATTGTCATTCTGCCCAATTAACTCGTCGACGAGCGAGCACCAATAATACCCACGCGAATTCTGCCAACAGCACGCTGCGTGTGTGTGTGTACTACTCACGCATGGCCGCCGATGGTCAAGCGATGATTACCCGTATCAGAATAACAACGCGTGCCGGGCTGGCCATCCACGGCGGGCGGTCAAGAAACGATTGCTGTTTTGCAACGCTTGACCACGCGTGCCGCACTGGTCATATCCACGGCGGGCGGTCAAGCAACGAACGCGTGCCGCGCTGGTCATTCGTTGTTAGACGGGTAATGATTGCCTGTCACGGCAGTAACGGGCGTTAGTGCACCCGCGATGACCGCTCAGTCGTCACTGGTCAGCGTATCGCTGTGCTAATTGGAGGTCGCGAGCGTGCGCGTGTGCGGGAGCTGCCGGCGATCGCTGAGCTTGTTTAAACGAGGTCCGCGACGATGATGGTGATTATATGATCATTGACGATCAATTATAGACTGTGAGCGAGTGGGAAGAGAATGCTGGGCGGAGGTGTCGTAAGCAGCGCGAGCACATGCGTTGCCGTTTTGAGCGACAGCGAACGAAAATAAAACGATAGCAGACGAAACGAGAAGCAGGGGCTAGGAATGATGACGGTGGGTGGGATGATGATGATGATGATGATGATGATGATGATGATGATGATGGTGATGATGATGATGATGATGATGATGGTGATGATGATGATGATGATGATGATGATGTTGATGATGATGATGACGACGACGACAGCAGCGACGGCGACAACGACGGCAACGACGATAATGACGACGATGACGATTATTATTATTATTATTATTATTACGACGACGACAACGACGACGACGACGACGACGGTGATGATTGTAAGGGCGTGAATGATACTGAAAGTGATGATGATAGCACTGATAACTATGATGAATAGGAAGGTGCGCAGTAATACGAACGACACGGAAAGGGTATTGCAATAAAGAGATGAGGCTCGGCAGTGGATAACGACTAGCGATGTAGCATGGCCGGGTAATGGGAGGAGCAGGAGGATTGGAACGGTAATTGTAGCACAGGAATGACACCGTTCCCGCCAAAGAGAGGAACTATACGTTGCGGGAGGCGTACACGTTGCATCGCTATACAATGATGAGCATAGGCGATCGACGGCGATACATAGCCATAGAAAACCGAGGGCAGTACTGCTAGTCGAGCAATACTCACCGGGTGCAAAAATAGTGCGAATAATATGCGTCGTTCTGTGTTACTAGACGTACCCATAATCGTAATCGTAGCCATAATCGTAATCCTAGTAAAAATCGTGGTGGTGGTCGTGGTCATGGTGGTAGTCGTTATCGTTGTCGTTGTCGCTATTGTTGTTGTGATCGTTGTCGTGGCCGTGCTCGTGGTTGTGGTCGAGGTCGTGGTCGCGGTCGCGGTCGTTGTCGTGGTCGTTGTCGTTGCCGTGGTCGTTGTCGTTGCTGTGGTCGTTGTCGTGGTCGTGGTCGTGGTCGTTGCCGTGGTCGTTGTTGTGGTCGTGGTCGCGGTCGTGGTCGTGGTCGTGGTCTTGGTCGTGGTCGTGGTCGTCGTCGTGGTCCTTGTCGTGGTCCTTGTCGTTGTCGCAGTCGTGGTCGTATAGACGTGGTCCTTGTCGTGGTCCTTTTCGTTGTCGCAGTCGTGGTCGTATAGACGTGGTCGTAGTCGCTGGCATGGTCACGGTCGTTTTCGTAGTCGTGAGCATGTTTGTGGTCGTACAGCAGCAGTAGCAGCAGCAGCAGCAGAAGAAGAAGAAGAAGAAGAAGAAGAAGAAGAAGAAGAAGAAGAAGAAGAAGAAGAAGACGAAGAAGAAAAAAAGAAGTCGAGAAATAAGAAATAGAAATGAAAAATAGTTCTGGTTAGTAGTAGTAGAAGTTGTAGCCGTAGCCGTAGTAGTAGTAGCAGCAGCAGCAGCCGCAGCAACATCAGCAGCGTAAGCAGCAGCAGCAACAACAGTAACAGCAACAGCAGTAACAGCAGCAGCAGTAACAGCAGCAGCAGTAGTACATGTATAAGAGCATCGGCGAAGATCAGCGCGACAACAACGCCGATCCTCTCGCGTAGAGCTAATATCGCTCTATTACAGATCCGACCGTAATAACAGGCCACCAGGTAAATGCGTCTCCGTCGGCAAATCGCGCCGATGAAAAAGCGCGCGCGGTGAGAAAAGCGTGACGGAAAAACAGGTCTGCTAGCGGGATTAGAGGTTCCCGGCAGTACACAGCGCATTGTGCGCGCGTGGCAGATTTCTGTGCACTGTCACTTCTGCAGAAAGGATTATTAATATTTTCGTAATTAGGTATTAAATCCAATAGCCCCCCGCGCGCGGAAAATTAGGCGTCGCCGTATCAATAGATGAAACGGAATATCAAAAATACATGTGATCTCCCTCGGCTTTCATTAGCTTATTGCACACCGTCGCTCAATGTCGTCCTCTACGGAGTTAAACACCCGCCACAATGGCACGACGCTAGCTGAAGCCCACCGGATAATTGTATCCGAGCATTTTCTCTCTAATAAATTTTAATAATCCGCGCCGAGCGGAAGCGCCGGGGATTAATTAGGCCGTGTAAATTAGCGATATCCTTCTCGCCGAGCTGCGGCGCGCTCCTTCGTTGGGCCGCCGCCGCCGCCGCCGCCGCACCGCGCCTCCCTTCAACTTCCCGCCGCCGCCGCCGCAGTGCGCCGAGCCTAATTTGAATGATGGCGCTTCCTGCGCGACAAGATCCTCTTGTAATTAGCGAGTGCGGGAGCGCGGCGGAGGCGCGACAGAGGCGCGAGAGATTACGACGGAGTCGGGACCGGCGATGGCTGCGCGAGGGTTAAGCGATGCTAATTATATCATATCACCGGCGGCAGTGCGTGCATGCGCGCGTCGCACGTCGCACGCCCGCGCATAGGTGGCGCTCGCGTCGCCCGACGATGACCCCGGGAGGTGGGGAAAGAGCGGGGGAAGGAAGTGGAGGCGGGGAAAGAAGGCGGGGGAGGGGAGTGGGGGAAGAGCGGGGGAGGGGAGTGGGGGAAGAGCGGGAGAGGGGAGTGGGGGAAGTGGCGATCGTTTGCGTGTGCGCGCAGCTTCTCGCTCATGATCTAATTAGTTGGTGCAATTAGCGAAATCGCGCGTGCGAGGCGAGGCGGCGACGTGACGTCACGCCGCGCATGTCGCCGCTACCCCCGTAGAAACCACTATGGGTGCCATGTTTCATGACGTCAGCACCGCTGCCGCCCGTACTACCGTGTGTTCTGATCCGAGTTGAAATGACGTCATCATTCGTCGTCGCTGCCGCCGTGCTGCTACTGCTGCTGCGGCTGCTGTTACTATACTATTGCTAGTGCAGCTATCGGTACTGCCGTCGCCGCCGCCACCGGTGTTGCTGCTGTTGCCATTACTACAAATCTTAATACTGCTATTACTGTTATTGCTGCTGCTATTAATACTATCAAGAGTTAATAATACCTACCTGTATTATTAGCACTTGATACTATTGCTAGTACTGCTGCTGCTGTTGCTGAGTATGATGGTAGTGCTATTGCTACTAGTGCTAATGCTGCTGCTGCTGCTATTACTACTATTCCAAGTGGTGCTGTCACCATCACCACCACCGCTCGTCGCTGCTGGTGCCGTCCTCTCCACAGACTCTACCACTACCATGCTGGTTGTTGTTGTAACCACTGCTGCAGTGGCGTCCCTATTGACACTCGAAGACCAGAGTATACGCGACCCCCCTATTCAGGCTCCCGCGGCTAATTTACATTTCTGCGTGTTGTGTAGTCGAAGCGCTGCTAGCTGCCGCACTTCATTCATTCGTGAGTACGTGCGCAGATAAAGCACCGTGTCGTAAGGCAGATTGCCTGGAGTCAGAGAGCGGGGCGAGCGAGTGTACGTGTGTGTGTATGTGTGTGTATACACAAACCGCAGACGCATACCTACCTGCCGGGCCCCGAATAGACGTCGGTCATTATTCCGAACAAGTCCCGCGGAATGCGTGCTAGAGGTAATCTTATCTCGTGTTGCTCCAGTGACACGCTCAGTGGCCAGACAGGTCAGCACGCAGCTAGGTCACTGTGCCAGTACCTTGAGTCGGTCTCTTGCTTCGTGGACGCTCCGTATATATAGAGAGTGTGTGCGTGTATGCGTGGTGGCGGGGGGGGGGGGTGGTTAGATTCCACGGAGCGTGTAAGTTTCACTTTTTACAACTGTTTGCGCCGTGGTGAGCCGGGGTAGTGAAAGAGAAAGGTGACACGGTTTCGTCGCTGTGATCGTTCGCTGCGCGAGATGAGCGAGTAAACGACGAAACAGCGAGGCCGCCTCCGTCGCCGACGGCAACGATGATAATAATACTGCCCATCATTCATTTCGATGCCGAATAGAAACGACGACAACGATGATGATCTTGTCCATCATTATATTCGATGATACTAATAAAAACGACAACGGCGACGACGTCGATGATGAGGATGATGATGATGATCATTATCATTATCATCATCCTGTGCGTGATTTTTGACGATAGTCATAAACACGACGCGACGATGACGGCGACGTTGATGATTACAATGCGAATAAATATTGATGATTACGGGTATATATACACGGTGGTGACGGCGATGATGACGATGAATGCACCCGGCCCCCGCGAACCGCCCATGACCGACGATCATGATCGATGATGATGATGATGATGATGATGATGATGATGATGATGATGATGATGATGATGATGGTGATCGGCTGTTAATTTGATGCGACGATCGCTAGAGCAATACTCCGTGATTCTGTGTCCGGATTCGATCCTCGTCGTCATTTATCGTGGATTATGTTAAGATTTTAGCGCGTTTCTAACGCGGTCCGTTAGATTCACACGAATATACTCGCTATAGGGCCAACTGAGATCGCCTGAAGGTTAGTTTCATTCCAATCGGTATGGTCTCATTCGGTATCAGAAATAGCTGGAAAAGTCCTGTAGCGGAGTGAAGGAGCTACACTGGTAGAGCTAGGTCTAAAAGTAGTTTCGTGCGATGTATGCTATACTGAAAGTACTATTAGTTCAACACGGCTATTTAGACTGAACTGCCCGCAGGTGTATTCACCACACATACCGGATTAGCTTTACCGCTCTATCACTTTAGGGTTGGGCCGCCTAGTTTATCGACTAAAGGCGTACCTACCACGCATCCCCAGTCGAATTCACTCCACAATCCTTGCGGGGGAGGGACCGACCGTACGTATACGTTATATATATGGTTAGTGTGAACGTTTACGATATGAGTCGGTGGGAGTGAAACTAATAGCTGAATCGGCGACAGTCGATTTACGTCGTAACCCGTCACCGGCCCAAAGAACGTGTTCCCGCTTAGCGGTGTGGCGCGCGCGCGTATAGACGTTGCGACATCTGGTGCGAGATAACCTACAAGCGGACCATTACCATCGGGACGACTGCGTGACGTGGCTAGCACACTGTAAGCCTTTGCATAACACATTCGCCATGTGCTACCCTGATTCACCGAGTTGCTTCGCGACGCAAGATGCCACGCGGAGGCGTGCGAGCGTGGGGACGGCGCACCAGGGTTCTCGTACGGGACGGCTGTCAAACAGCGTATCAAAAGCACTGCGGGAATGACCGCGAGAGCAAAACACGAACTAGCTCTAGAACTGTGGCAGAGCGAAGGGCTATAGTTCTAATGGCTAAACTCGAACGCGCAGCAACAACGATTCCAGTCGAATGTCATCAACTGCACGCACTCGCATTTTCCCGCACCAACATTTGCAGCTACAACCCCGCTCACAGACCGCACGATCCCACACGTACTTGTAATATACAGGTTCCCCGTTTCCCCTAACCCTTCTTCTACCTTCTCCCGTACCGCGCCGCGTTCCTGTGCCCGCTGCCTGCCGCGCGCGCGTGCGTGTGTTTTCCCGCGCGCACCGCGCCGCAGCTTCCGTGACTGACAGGGTCCGGGAGGCTTGACTCGCACGGCGCATGTACCCGCCCCGATGGCCGCGCAGCGCGCACACGCGCTCACACATGCACACACCGGTGACAGCGCTCGCTGCCTGTGCTGCAGCCTCTATTCACACGCCGTGCCGTGCGCTCGCAACGGCGAGTGCTCCGCCAGCCAATCAGCACGCAGCCTCGCTATGCCCTAATTGCGCGAGGGCCACGACCAATGGGCTTTAATTATCACGCACTAATGTGCTCGTGCTTCTTGAACTGGAGGGACTCTCTCCCCGGCACTCTTCCCCAGCGCGAGCGACGTCGGCGCAACGTTACTATGGCGACGCTGTCAGTTTTCGTGGCCGTGTCATAGTTCAGCGGATATTCTGCGCGCACGCTCGCCGCGCCGAGGCGGCTCGCAATCAGTGGCTTTTCTCCACCGCATCACCCCGGAGTCGGCGCAGCCCGGCCTCGCTGATAACCCGACGGCAGACGGGGCGCAACCCCAGTATACATCCTGCGCGCGTCTCCGCTCGACGACGCTCCCGTACTTCGACGACGACGGCGACGACGACGACGACGGAAGAGCCATCAGTTTCGCTGGCCGCTAGTGCGTTGAGACAGGGCAAGAAGGCAGTCGCGTGAGGGGGCAAGCACCGCGCTTGTATTGAGACGCGACGCAGCCCTCAAGGCACGTCGTATATCTACGCGCATACGCTCATACATGTGTGCACACAGCCGCCGGCCAGCCGCGGCAAGAGAACGTGTGCGCTTGAACGACGACGACGACGATACGAGCAAGATCAACGACAGCAGCAGCAACAGCAACGGCAACAAACAACGACGACAGCAACAACAACAGCAACAACGATCACGTCGCTAGCCGCAACAACGACGACAACAACAGCAACACTTTCTTCTAGAGAAACCCCAAAAATACGCGACTAACACGCACCTAAGCAGGTCGACCCTTGCCAGCAGCAGCAGACGACGACCACGACGACGACGATGGCAATGACAGTGAGTAACGCCGTGAATCCCGGCTGGAGGGACCCGACTCAGCCGACGTTGCTGCCCTCCTACACGACAACGACGACGCCGGCGACGGCACCGCCCGTGCCGGCCGCGCCGACGCCGAGTCAGACGCACGAGCTCGACGTCAAGATCGACATGAACACGACGTCGTCGACGGGCAGCGTCCAGTCGACGAATTCGGACAAGTCGTCGCAGCACATCGAGTGCACGGTGTGCGGCGACAAGAGCAGCGGCAAGCACTACGGACAGTTCACGTGCGAGGGCTGCAAGTCGTTCTTCAAGCGCAGCGTGCGTCGCAACCTGACGTATACGTGCCGCGGCAGCCGAAACTGTCCCATCGACCAGCACCACCGCAACCAATGCCAGTACTGTCGGCTGAAGAAATGTCTCAAGGTGGGCATGAGACGAGAAGGTGAGTGTTTCATGCCGCGACGCGTCCGTAGCTCGGGCGAGGTAGGAAGGGAGGAGGAAGGGAAGGAGGGGTGCGGGGAGATGGGAATAGTATACGCGCAGGACGAAAATACCTGCCTACCATCACGATTAATTCAGCAGCAATCATTGCAGAGAGAGGGGCGAGAGGCAAACACGCATAGAGAGAGAAATAAAGAAAGGGAGAATAAAAATGGAGTGATAGAGCCACACGCAGAAAGAGAGAGAGAGGGTCATATATCGAGAGAGGGGCAGGGAGCGCGCAAAGGAGAGAAAGAGAGACAGAAGAGGGGGGGGGATAGAGAGACGGGGAGAAGAGAAAGAGACAAACAAACACGGGTAAAGATAGCCCTATCGCTTTGCAAATTATTGATCGCGGCACAAAGCACGCCGTATTTCTCTACACAAAGCGCTCTGTGACGCAATAATCCCAACATTTAAAACTATCTGGGTCTACACGTAAAAACGTTAAGCCACGCCAAAAAACGCAAACATACATACATTTCTTCGTGATACATTTGCATATCTGATAGTGATACTGATAGTGATAGTAAAGCCGCGCTGCGCAGTCGCTCGTTGTTTAACAGAATGACGTGATTTCACTACTGATAAGCGCCGGCCGGTAAAAAGCGAAAGCCAACCCAATAACTGCGATCACGCTTGCCGATTAAATTAATCACACTGTACATCTATACTTTACGCAAAACTAGCCCAGCGAAAGCGGGGCGGGGCAGGCCGGAGGTGGGTGCGACCAACGCGACGATGGTCTTGTCGAATCCGCGCCAAAATCGGGTCACGTTCCAGTGTTTTAAAAATCTAGGCTAGTAGTGTTACACGCCGCGTCGCCGCGCAACAATGGTCAGGCAGCTATAGAGAGAGCGCGGGGAACCGACAAGCACTTTCTCTCCAAGCGAGCGGCGCGACTGTATGTATCGCCAGGCATCTCCGACACGTTTGACCTATCTGTTTCCGCGAACGCACACACGCGCGCGCACGCACGCACGTACGCACGCACACGCATGCACGCACTCGCGAAGTAGGCCTGACATTTTACGCAACGCTGGCTCGCTCAGCGGCCGGGCAGCGATGGCCGGGACTGTGCACAACACGCAGTACTGTAGCCGGAGCGTTCAGCGTCGGGCCACATTAAAATATTTTCTGGTTGTTTGCACGCCCATTGTACAAGCCGATCTTGACTTTTATGATTGCGCGCATATTTCCCAGCTGCAGTGCGCAGAGTACAAGCAGATATGGGCAAGCGAGTGGGTGTGTGGTGATAGTAGGCGAGGAGGAGGGAGAGGGGGGCGGAATTTTAAAATGACGGCATAGCCGCGTTTTCGCATACGATGATGTGGTAAATATTTCCACAATGCGAATCTGTGAGAATTTCCGAGTAGTTGCCTCCCTAGGCTATACAGACAGAAGTGTCTTCAAACGCGGAGCACCAATTGTGTGTGTCGGAGGAACATGGAAATAATATAATAATATGATTTCGATATATATATATATATATCAATATCAATATATATTTATATATATATATATATGTATATATATATAATATATATATATAATCCGGTATAATGCTTCAACGTAACTATATTCCTGATTTGCGGGGAAAGCAGACTGCTAAGTAAATATATGTTTGAATTTTAAAATGTTCGATCGCGCGCGAAATATCGGCAGGCAGACTATGGAACCACGGGTCGGCATTCATAGCGGATCTAGTCGTGACGAGGGACATTATAATAATAGCGCAGCATTATTTTCCTATGAGTAAGTGTCGCGATCATTGTAGGCACGCATGTGCGCAAATTAATGAGTTTTCTATCGCGACGGCGGCCCCGCCGTTATTTTACATCACGCATGCATTAAGGCGACGGCGCTGCAGCGCGAGCCGCATGTATATATAAGCGCAGCGACCAACCAATTCCCAATGCTAGCCTAGGCAGCGATGCGCGCAGGCCGCCACTCTGTCCGTGCGTGCGTGCGTGCGTGCGTGCGTGCGTGCGTACGCGCGGTACGTGCGTGCGTATGTGTGGCATGCTGCGTGTGCCTGCGCGCGCGTGCTTTGCGTGTTAGCGGATGGGTGTGCGTGTGCGTGTGCGTGTGCGTGCGTGTGTGTGCGTGCGTGCGTGCGTGGGCATGTACGCGTGCGCGTATGCGCCGGTGATTGAGCGTGTGCGTGTGTGCGTATGTTGCGTGCGCGTGCGTGCGTATGTGCGCGTGTGTGGTACGGGGGCCTCGCTAGAACTAACAGGAATTGTCCCATATATACTTACATTCACGCAAAATAATTATCGCGAATCAATAATTAAAAGTCGGAAGTCAGCGATAGTCAGGAGGGTTATATACGTTTAGGGAGTGTCAGCGAACAAACGCGCACGCACATGTAACTCACGAGCGCTCTCACGCACGCATGCACGCACGCACACGCACACTCACGCGCGCGCACGCGATACTACGCAAAGCTGCTAATAATGTTGTGAAAATTAATATTTATATTGCCTTATCCTTGGTTTCTGTCAATTGGTTTAAAAAGCAGTGTTTAATCTCCTATATATATATAATATAAGTATAATCTAATATATATATATATATATATATATATAATATAGCCAGTTCAAGGTTGATGCTTTACGGATTTAAAAATGGTACTAGATGCGAGTGTAAAATTTTAGTCAGACAGCCCCACGGTAGCCCTAATGGGTTTATTCATACTTGCCACGATTATATACTTGCTGTTCTTTTTTCGTTGCATGCATGCACCCAGTGATTCTTCAGTCACTCAGTATATCACATTGCCACATGTGTTACACGATAGGTATATTGCAATTACTGCATCACACTATCTATTAGGTTACATGGTGCTGTCGTTGTGCATGCATTTGTTGATACGTACTGCTAGACCCTAGTCTTTCAAAGCCTATGACCGTGAAAGGGGTAACGGTATGTAAGATTTCTGAACCTAGCGGTATTTATGCGGTATATTGCTCGGAGGCAAAGTCACTTGGTAGTAGCTCATGTTTAATGCATATATTTAATCAGGATAATACATCTGGTAATTGTGTTCATAATAAATATTGTGTTATTATTTCCACGCTATGGCGCAGTAGCGTAGACATAATAATTATGCATAAAACTATAAGCGAAACAAATGAATATGTAGTAAATAGATAAAGGTAGTACGCACGCACGCAAGCACGCACGCAGGCACGCACGCACACATACATACGCACACGTATATTATTTTAAAGCGCATAATAATATATAAGTAGTAAATTACAGGATAAACGCGCTGGTTTAATTATGGCGAATTTTAAAGAATTATCACAATGTTTGTTTTTATAATAGCTGGATGAAAGTGTTGTGTCAGTTCACCTCAGCATATCGCTTATATATTTAAAATTAGGACAATATAAATGCTATTCAAATATTTCCTGAACAGGATTACGCATATTTATCTAGTTATTTGATGAGTTAAATTGAGTTTCATCGTAGTGTATTATTATTAAAATGAGCCTATACTAGGAAATGTTGCCGAAATAACACCACACATCAATGGCAAAAGTGAAAGGCCACCCGCTTTCAATTACAAGTAGATTTTGCAATTAGCTTCGCTTACACGAAAATTATACGCCGTATAAATTAAAAGCTTCTCCACTCTGCATATATAAAAGTACGGAATATATACAATACGCACACGAGAAAATGGGGGTAGACCACTAGACACTATTAGCCACGGATATTTCGCTACTAACAAATTTCTTTGGTGATTCAAACATGTTCCTTTTGCATAATTTCCCTTTGCCGATCATGATGCATAGATACTGGCAGCGCAGTATAGTATCGGTGTATTCGTTTCCTGACGTTTGCCTCCAGAGTTCACGCATAAAACTTTTGTATCGCAGGGTGGGTAAGTTGGATTCGCAAAGGCTTTTATCAAAGAAAATATGTACACTCCCTCCACCAACAAAGCACAGCACGTAGATATAGGGCTAGACTGCAAAAGTCATGCTGAACCTCAATGGCAGAATAATAATAATATAATGACAAATCGTAAAGCTAGATCCGCTTTTATTTGAAGTGTGCGCCAGTGAACGCGCAGGCGCGCAGTAACATATATACATGAACGCGCGCATGTACGCACGCGCACGCACGCACACACACACACACACACACACGCACACACACACACACACATTCGGCGTGTTCTTCCATTAGTTTCAACTGTAATTCTTGTGGGTGTTATGTTCCCCTGGCAAATATTGTCTTACAATATTTCACAACATGGTTTGTTCTTTTTGCGAATTTGCTCTGTAATTCACGCCAATATGATACACCCATCTGGCAACCTTGGTAATAAGTTCCTCTTAAAATTTAAATGTTGTCTTCTAAAATGTTCTTCTCGGTAAATATAGTTACTTAATCTTTCCGCTGTTCCATGTCATCGCTGCTTGTATAATTTCTTATTTATACTACGTAATCTATTCCATTCGTGCTGCTATTCTTGCTATCATTATTGTTATTTATTATATTATTTATATCGCTTACTATTTTATTATTATTACCACGCATACCTCCCCGCTGTTCAGTACCGTTATTACCCGATATATTACATCAATATTCAGCGCATCGCGTCACGCGTTATTTTTGACCGCGATTCGCGATGGCGGGAACGTGTAGCCATTATGTCGTTACTCCTGGTCCTGGTTTTCTTTCAGCGGTGCAGCGTGGCCGCGTGCCGCCGACACAACCGTTCCCAGGGATGGCGCTCACCAACGGCGAGCTGCTGAACGGCCACACGTACCTGTCCAGCTACATCTCGCTACTGCTGCGCGCCGAGCCCTACCCGACATCGCGCTACGGACAGTGCATGCAGCCAAACGGCATCATGGGCATCGACAACATCTGTGAACTAGCCGCGCGGCTGCTGTTCAGCGCCGTCGAGTGGGCGCGCAACATACCGTTTTTCCCGGACCTGCAGATCACCGACCAGGTGGCGCTGCTTCGGCTCGTCTGGAGCGAGCTGTTCGTACTGAACGCGTCGCAGTGCTCGATGCCGCTGCACGTGGCGCCGCTGCTCGCCGCCGCCGGCCTGCACACGTCGCCGATGGCCGCCGACCGCGTCGTCGCCTTCATGGACCACATCCGCATATTCCAGGAGCAGGTCGAGAAGCTGAAGTCGCTGCACGTCGACTCGGCCGAGTACAGCTGCCTCAAGGCGGTCGTTCTCTTCACAACAGGTAGGTGGCCGCTGCCCCCGCACTCACGAACGAGACGCTTCGTTAGACTGCCCCGAAGCGTCCCTGGTCCTTAAGGTTGTTTTCAAGGACTTGCTGTCTGTCTAAGACCTTCCTTTAGCGTTGCTCCCGCTGAGTTCTGTAGCCTCTTGTCGGTTTGTACTTGTGAGCGGGTGATAACGACAAGTTAGGAGTTGATGTCGAGATGGATAAATTTGATAATGACGAATTACTTTGTTGCTGGTTGTGGTGGTGGTGGTGGTGGTGTGTGTGGGGGGGGGGAGAGAAATCCACGAATGGCAAGGACAACAGACACAAGACACGAGCATTTTTAGCAGCAACGTCAAGCATACGTTGTGTCCAGATACGTTTACGCCTGATCCAGCCGAGTAGACGTTACGGCGTATTCTTTCCCCCATTCCCCCTCATCACATGCTCTTCGTTTACGCGTAACGCAATAGCGATCGAGTGATACTCATCCGTCAGTATTCCTCACGCTTGCGCGCGCCACGCCGCGATTTCTAGTTTCGCTCAGTTGGAGGAAAATTCGACGGGATTTAGCAGCTGACAGCCGAGCTGCTTTAATTCCTCGCGGCGACGGCGCGAAAAGCTGTCCTGTTATCTGTCGAGCCCGGGTCCTCGCCTCGTTCACGCTTAGACGGCCTCCTTAACTTGTCGATAATCAACGAATCTCACTCGTGGCCTCCACCACGGACACCGGTAGTGTCAGTCTATTGTCCTCGCATAGTTTTAATGCGAGTCCAGCTTTTATCGCATGTTATTTTTCTTCCGCCATTCGTTCCTCTTCGATGTCCGCGGCGTGAACTAAATTGATTATCCGGCCTAGAAGAAGGATCCGTGCTAACTTAATCCCGAGACGCTGCTCACGCGCTGTGAGCAGACGAGATTTCTGTATAAATAACGCGGGAAATTGACGTTTTGAGCGCATTTCTATATTCATGCGATATCAAAATTGAATAGGCGTGGGTGGAATGTGTAGAAATGTTATTGCCCTTGGAAATCTTGAGCCCTCGAGCATCGATTGAGAGAGAGGAGGCTGACTACCAGCGTACGGGAATGATGGGAGAGACGAGCTTGTGATCATCTCTGCTGCTACTACCGACCAGCTTCTCATTGCCTCGTCATCTCCCTCTATCTCTCTCCCCCTACATATACCCAGCTCGCCCCTCTTTCGCTCGCTCTCTCTCTCTCTCTCTCTCTCTCTCTCTCTCTCTCTTTCTTTCCCCTGATCTCTCTTTTTCTCTTTCGCTATCCCCCTCTTACTGCTTATATACGTACAGGCCTGCGGGCCGTTTACACCAATACCTCGCACAGGGCACAGGTCGTGATCCAATCTATCAGATCTGTTGGTGCGTGACCGTGCGTCTATAATGTCAAAGCAGAGAAAATCTGATAGCTTCACTCAGTCTGGCTTACCTTCTTCGTACGTGTGCGTACTCCCCCTCCCCAGACACACACCTCTCGGTCCATCTATCTCTCACCACACTTCTCTTATTCCTCACCATCTCTCTCTCTATAATATATATATATATATATATATATACACCATATATATACACCATATATATACATCAAGAGTGACATATAACATCTCTATAATATGTACTCTTTATATACATACATACTTACACACACGCACACGCACACGCACACGCACACGCACACACGCACACGCACGCAGCACACACACACACACACACACACACACACACACACACACACACACACACACACACACATATATATATATATATATATCGATTCGCTCATTACGTCCGCCATTCTACTGCACTCGCAAACTCCGCCCACAGAATCAAGACGCTGCACTCGACTTGCGAACAACTACAAGCAGCGCGTTGATGCGCAGGTTGGCGTCCATGCGGCCTGTCAATCACTGCGGCCACCGACTGTTTATTGTCGGATCGGTGGCAAAGTCGTGCGTAGAAGCTGTTGAGCCGGCTCCTCATGTGTTCCCCTGCACTTCTACCCACACCGCAAAACTCGACTATTGAGAATGATGTCTCGCTGGAAACCTATTTATGGAACCAGAGGCATCGCGGTACGTGCGCAGTGCTGCTGTAGGAAATTAATGGGTGACGCTTTCACGTATGTTATATTCAATATATATTTATATATATATATCAATAATACACACGCGGCCGAACGAGATCCCGGTATGTACTGTACCAGCGCGTAGTACTACGCCGTCGTACTATTTTCGCATCGCACCGAATGCTGGCGTGTGTGTTTTGTCAGCTGGCACGCCTGAAGAAAAAAGTGTTGAATGGTTAGCAAAGTGGAGCTGAAATAGCCAGCAGGCCGCGCGGGGCCGAGGTGGGCCGGAGCTTAGCATGCATTAGCATCGGTTTCCTAATGACATGCATCCAGACACGAATACGGCTCCCGTAGTTAAACGCGCGCAAAAAACATCATCTGTGCGGTCCGATGCTACCAGAGAGGACAGCGTGTTTGCGTTGGGCACTACGCCGAATCGTCAGTAACCGCTAGAGAAACACTATTACACGAATGCCGACGGTGTCTAGCATACGCCACCACCCACATCTCCGCTGTGCCACCACACGGTGTGGATCATAGAGAGGCGTCAAGATAACACTGGCCTAATCCCACGTAGTCAACCCAGCCGAGTGACGAGTTGAGAAAGGTATCGCCGCCATCATCGGCAAGATTAAACCACGAGGGGTGAAGACTTTGCTGGGGGTGTGAGGAGATGGTGCTGTGTTCATGTCTTAGACTTAGATATGAAGAGTGACGAGTGGGAGGGGATAACAGACGGGCCTCGGTCTTAGCTATTGAGCCCCCCTTGAGTGAGAAGTTAGAGTGAAAGGTTAGCGCTGTCTCCATGTCTCAGAGTAAACGATCACCCACATACGAACCTGGTGAATGTGACACAGTCGCAATCGCTTGGATTTAATGTTGATGACTGATGGCCTAGATGAAGGCAACCCTACCGTAATCAGATTAGGCATCGATCGCAGAGTGAAGAACTAAGTAAAATAACACGTGTATTCATCCTATAGATGATGATATCCTGTCGAGTGATGGGTTAGTTAAGCTAAAAACATCTTTCATCGCTATGTTGTGAAGACGAGGAATAAAAACTACAAGCCGGACTCAACCCTCCCGCCACATGTGTGCTAACTACCAGTGTACTTTCAACAAGCGTAGCACATAAGGAGATCCACACGACGGTTTATAGGAATACAATGAGTGATTTTTGCTAGGTTTCTTGGAATAACCGCCTATATGATGTAATCGTAATTCGCATCCTGTTTCTCAACCTCACGGCCAGAGCTAAGGCCAGCGAATAAGTATGCGTAATGAAATTCTAGAACGATTATTTCTGGCATTTATTAAATTGTTCTCAACAGTGATTACCCAGCAGAGTAGCCAGTTACCATGATTGGAAAACCAGAAAATTTCCCGAATATTTACGTTAGAATTCATGCGAAAAAATCCATTCGTGCGAGTTGTACGAGCAGTGATTTGCCACGGGAGTTATACAGTCTCTATAGATGAACTATTCTGTTAAGGGATATGATCAAGTATGATCACTGGTCTAGTCGTTATGTGAAGGTTATTAACCGTATACTCGGAGTTCTCTGTCTAACAGCTCTAGTCTAAGCTGTATTTTATTTGGAAATAAAATAAAATTACAAACGTCTAATGCCGGAAAGGATTATAGTCAGTTATGATGACACCATTCAACATACACGAACTCCACGTAGTGGATTCAGTAGTGATACACGTGGTATGCACCAATTAAACGTACGTAAGAGAACATAAACTATTAGTTTGCACTAGAGTTACAGTTTACAGTTACACGACACTACACATTATCAGAATTGAATAATAATAGATCTATATTTATTCTATAATATAGATCTATTTAGCTATAATAAAGATATATTATTATTCACTCCTGATATTATGTTTTCTTGATGGCATCACGCGTGCCCAATACGCTAGCAAACGTATAGTGCGTATCTAATTCGGTTGTATGCGATCGATTTGTGCTAATCACTTGGCCGAAAAAAATAGCCTATGTCCCCTGTTGTCATTTCTAACACCCACATACGGTAGGTATCGATTGTCTACGGAATTAGATAAACGCGCATCGAATATGCACATGCCGAGTGGATCTCATTTCCTGCACGCACGCACGCACGCACGCACGCACGCACACGCACACACACCACACACACACGTAACGCACGCAGTGCTCGCGTATGCCGAACAACAGCGTCAGTGATACGCGCGCACACACCTGTGAACTCCATACGAACTCCGATGGCGACGACGCGGCGACGTCGCGGCGACCTATCAGAGCCACGTTGCCACGCGGACGTGAAACACTGTTGCATATACCGATAGCCGAGTTTTTCACTAGCTAGATTTACCCCTCCGCCGCTCCTTCTGCCCTGGCCAGATGTAAGATAAAACAAAGCGCAGGAGAAGCGCGCTGAGGCGTCGAGTGACGGCTGAGTTTTTGCGCGCGCTTTGCGTGCGCCACGTCGTCTGACGGTCGTCGCCTCGGCAAAACGTGTAGCCGTATTGAACGCCAACAGAGGCAACGATCGACGTTTCGAGGGGCAGGCAGGTAGCTAGTAGCTAGTAGCAGCTGCACTGGCTCCAAAAACAACTCTCCTTGGCTCCACGCCGCTGAGTCTACATATTAGCAGGGGTTAATAATGACAATTATTCATTTGCAATTTACTCATTTACACATTTACAATTTTGGACATTATTAACTCCTGATATTAGATGAGACGTTAAACATTTTATTGAGGCATTTAGACGTGCTTTTTTCCAATTAACTACGACATATTAGATAAGACTTGCGTTAGATTTGTATATTTGAGCCCACGGTCAACATCGCTGGCGTTGATGCTCCATAACTTACTGAATCAGTCTAGGTTGTAGCTGCTACTGGGGGCGGATTCGTCAAGAAGACAAGTTAGTTG